TCTTGTCGTGCAGCCGCTTCAGTAGTCGCGATCATCCGGCCCAAAGCCTCGTCTTGCTTAAACTTCTCCTCAAGTTGGTTCTGTGTCAGCTCTGCCGAAGAATAGTTTTGCATGATCGGCTGGAAGTCGGTCTCGTCTAAGTCTAATTTACGGCTCTTGACACGCTCGCGGAAGACCTGCGCCGGTCCTCTTCAACTCACCGTTGCAACCAAGCGGCACACCTTCTGCAAAAGACTCGGGTCCCTGGCAGAGTATCTCCCAATCCGGGTCGTTCAAAAGCTTCAAAGATTGTCCAAGCATATGCAACATGAAAGGTTGTCGCTCAGGAACTTCCTTGGCGGTTTCAGGGGCTGGTAGCAGATTGCAGATCCTTTCCCTTGCCCGCCAAAGCTGCTCCTCGGAGAACGGCGAACTTTCAAGTCTGCCCAGAGCCAACTCCATGGATTTGCGTTTGACATCCGGAATAGCATCCTGCACAAGGTCTTCCAAGATTCTCGTAATGGCCATCACGTGCTTGCGTTCCTCCAAGGTCTGCAGGTGTCCCCTGGCCTCCGGAAGCCAGCGGCCAGGAGAGCATAGACCAAATCCATCCACGAACTCCTTGGTATAGCCTTCATGGTGGCATTGCATCGGCGGACCCAAGGCCCGACTAAAGCTTGGGTCGAATTTCTCCCCTTTGCCTTCGCTAGCATCCTCTTCAGAACTCCCCAGCACTTGGACCTCCTCTTGTACCGCCGAGTCGCCGTCATCGCCGGCAGCATCAAGGACCTCCGAGTCACCGCCCGCATCCCCCAGCCCGCTAGGGAGCGGAGAGGAGGAAGGGACAGTGGCACCTTGGGGGTCTAAATCCAAAGGAAAACCCAAATCACGTAGCTGCTGACGTTGCTGGGCCGGCAAGTTATTATCAGCAAAGGCTGGATTGTAGGCAGCGATCACCAATCTATCACCTGTCCAAGGCATCGTGGCGTGCCACGAGTTGCGAGCGTCGAACAAGACGGTGCTGTTGCAAACTGCATGCACAGTGCCGAAGACATCTTGATGCTTGATGGTCATTTTGTGAGCGCCGTCAGATGCTTCCACCCACAGCCCACCGTTCACAAACTGGCTCACTCCGATGAGCAAGTTCATGGTCTGAGCATTGCCAAGGTCTTTGTGGACCTCGGCCTTGACGTTGTGTAAAAGGCTGAAAGCGGCATAGCAGTGATCTGGCGCTTGTTCCTTGATGAACTTGTTGAAAAGCTGTGTGCTGCGTGGAAACACACGGCAATTCTGCCGCAGTCCCACAATGCCCCCTTTAGAGTAACCCCCCGAAACGAAAACCAGACCCTCAAGGGAACCAGCGGCTTTGTGGGGAGGCTCTTTGGGGAGCAAAGAGAAAAGAGTACTGACCGCAGTCCTAGTCACCGGTTTGCCGGTGGCCAATTCCTGCATTGCATAGCGCTCGGCCTCATGTTCGACGCGTCCCACGTCGCCTGTATTTGCAAGCTGCGGTGCTGTAACTACGGCTCCAAGACAGAGCTGTGCAAGGTAGAAGCGGAAGGCCGAGGGATACGCTGCGGACGGGCCTGTGCGCCACTGATCGCCATCCAAACCTTGCAATGGCTGGTCGTGGTGCTGGCCACAGTTGCTGAGTGGGCCTACATACCAACCTTCATCATCGAAATCAGGCCACTCTGATGCCTCTGCCAGTGGCCCTGGCAGATTGGTGGCAAGTCTCGTAGGTTTCGGAGTGCTGGCTCCGTAGTGGCATTGGTAGAGCGCCCAAGTCGCCTCCTGCTAAGTGACGCCTCCTGCTCCTTGGATAGCTTGTTGCATTTCTCGTAATTGCCACACACTCGCTGGAATTTGTCCTTCCTTGGTTCTCCCAAGGTCCTCAGGGTGTTCCCAGAGCCAGTATCTGGACAAAGATGTTTGTAGTTCGACTGCATGTAGACAATTCTGGATGAAAAGGTTGTGTGTCTCCGCAAGCTGCCGGTTCTGATTCGAATTCCACGGAAAACCCCACGGGTAAGAACGATCTCGTACCGGTTTAGGAAAAGTATTTCCCATCCAGTTACATCTTGCTCTCGAGAACGTATTGCATGGGGGTGACAAAATCAAAACATCCCAGAGTCCCGCGGAAATATCACGAAAGATCTCCTCCCACAGGCTCTTACTAGTGAGGTCATGCCCTGGGTCACGTTTGAGATCCAGGGCTCGCACTTGCAAATGAATGTCATACTGAAGAGCCAGATCCTTAAGATGTGACTCGATGTCCCCGTCACGTGGGACCCCGGCAAATAAATAAAGCACCCTAAGTCAGGCTTTGTCCGCACTATTGGAACCATCGCCCGCACCAGCCTTCTTCTGCCAGTGCTGCCACATCGGATGCTGCTGGCCGCAACCGGGAACCTGACAGATGTGCACTCGACCGCATGATCCATCGCAGCCACCTTCGTTGAAGGCATAGCAGATCTGCTGACCATCTGGCGTGTGCGTCAGCACACGCTTCCCTTTCCCATTCTTGTCCTTCCCCTTTGAGCCCTTCGATTTTCCCCCTTTGTAGTCGCCCTTGTTGTCAATGAGCTTCCCTTTAGAGCCTTTATCCCCCTTCTCGGTGTTGCGGCTCCAAGGTTGATAGGGTTGCCAACGCTGCTGCGTCGGCGTCTGCTGTTGCCACCGAAGACGATTCCCCCGGCCCTCGTTGATCACGCTCTGGAGCGCGATGGGCGAGATGAAATGCTGCTCACGGATCTCGGAATCCTTCGACTTTTCGGGTAGCACCTCCGCTAGCGGCCTATTTTCCCTCACTGAGGTTTTCACAGCTTCCTTTCTCACCTGGAATTCGTACTGCAAAAGGACGTGCCAGGGCGGACGAACACCGGTGTTGTCGCCATACTGGTTCGGGATCTTCATCAAATACACCTTTTCACCCATAAGTGCGTGCAAAACAAACGCCCTCA